TATCAAATGTAAAATAAAAATATATTTTAATACTTAATTAAGAAATTTAAAAAATGTTTGCAGTTAACAGTATTAAAAATGATATAATCTTTGCTTTAAAAATATAAATTCAAATATTTTTAAATGCAAAAAATGACGATAATATATTATTTAAATTTATTATTATTGTAGCAATTCAAATGATTTTTAAAACAATATTAAATAATAAAATTGTTTTAATAAATTATAAGCAATGCAAAGTTGGAATGCATTTGAATTATGGAAGATCTAGTAAATTGTGTTCTTCATAATAACTTTGAGTTACATCATAGCATAAGTCTGCTGCATCTGCGAGTTTTCCCATTTCTTCTGCAACATTTTCTGCTTCGTTACCACAGGCCTTTTCGATAAGATTTTGACATGTAGAAAGTGAATACATTGCTAAATGAGCAGTATTTCTTATCAACCAAGGATGAAATTTAGATAATGTTTGTTTGTAGCATTCTTGAGCAATTGGCGCCATTTTATCGTGGGGTTGAGCACACGAAAGTTTTCTCATTAAAGCACTAATAAATTTCAATGCTCTGTGAAGCCTCAATAATGTGCGTGATCCAGAGACTATATTATCTTTATTTAATAAGTCCAATTCTTTTTCGTAATTTATCATTGACTGAATGGTTGCATAGTTATTACCGACGTCGGATTTTAAGAAATTTTCTAAGATTGTTATCTTGCTAATAATATCAGATGCCACAAATCCGAACACAGATCCAAGAGCAAGAAAGAATCTGCAAAAACATGAATAAATTAATAATTATTTTAATTATAATAAACATTTTTTATAATGCAATACATATTTTCAATATAAATTAATACTATATTTTATTCTTATTAGGAAGAACATATATATATCCTTTTAAGAGGAGACACTTTTATATAGCAATAAAAATTCAGATAATAGCATGAGTCATCAATTAACAATACCATAAATAAAGATATTGCATAAGTTTTGGTGTGATTTATTTAGTAAAACTTTTCAGCTTTCACTTGCTTGCATTCTCATTTGTCAGATTATTTTTTTTTTTATGAGAACCTTCTTTCTAAATTGGCAAATTGTAATACTGTATATTATTGCTTGTGAATACAAGACATTTAAAGTATTATGAACAATTTCTTTGTAGATATGTTAGCAAAAAATACTTCTAAAAATTAAAGATTACAGTATATGCTTAAGTCCTATATGAGATTTATCACAGGCTTTGTTGTTGGCAGAAACATTCTTTATATATATGAAAAGTTGTTACAATAGTGCATATATCTGAAGCTCTCTTCAGAAATAAATATGCATATGATTGAAGGTTTTATGTTTAATTTTTTTTGAAGGAATTCTCTGGAAGAAACATTTTTCCATTTGTGTGTATAGTATATATTCATCATATACTGTATGACTGCTACATACACAAAAACACACAATTGATAAAATGATAAAATTTAAGAAGAAAGAACAAGTTTGACCACATTTTTATTCAATAATGACCCATTAGTGGCTGAATCTAATGAACATTTAAATGTTTGGACTACTTAACAGATATATTAGTTTATGCATGAATTTCTTTCTTTAAATTCACAACTCATGCAACATTAAATACATTAGCTAAATATAAAAACACCTTACCACTGGGGTATTTAAATTTTCTTTACAAACATTTTTTTGGCTCTATTTATGCTATTTATGAGCCCTCCTCAGGTAAATAAATACATTGCTGTAGGAAAACCAGATTTAATAACAAAGATAAACAAAACTATTGCTTTAAATAATAACAATTCTGAAAGTAAAATTCATTGCTTTTTTAACATGTTACAATAAATTTAAATTAATAATGGTAAAATGATATCAAAATTATTCCAAATTAAATTATTTTACAATTTACATTTGGAATAATTGTAAATTGAAGCAGTGAATTGAAAATCAAGTTATATTAATCTTTTTTTTTTCTCAGCTCATAATATTTCAAATATATATTTGCTCTCAATTTTATATATAACTAATTTTATTTTATAACATTGAGTATATGATTTCTCATTTCCCGGTCTTTTGCTTGTCCCGGGATTCTGGGAAAAAAGTGAACTATTTTCTGGGATATAATTAATTATTTTTAAGATATAAAATAAATCTTAAAATCAAATGATATAATTATTATTCATTTTTAAGTAACTTAATACATCCTGCAATCTCTAAAGTAATATTAATAATGCTGTGTAAAATATGTATAAAAAATTACTTTGAGTTATGTAGAAATTTCACAAATAGAAAAAGTTTAATACAGTTTGTTGGAAACTGCTTACAACAAAAATGCCTTTGAATTGAGTTGAAATTTTAAAGAAAAAAAATGAACTTAGATCAAACTTCTAAGTTAGAAGGTAATTTTCATTATTTAAATAAAACATTATTACAGAAATATTATTGTAAATTTTTATAATAAGATTTTAAAAAGCAAAGATGGTTGATACTCCATTCACTCAATTTGATCCTTATTTTACTAAAGAAAAGTCCTGCTACCAAGAATGCTCTTTTCAATTCAATTGATGCGGTGGAATCATCTTTAATGCATTTAAGAGAAGATGAATGTTATGTGTGTTTTCACCCGTAGCCTGGAAGATTTCTAGTTTGTTTTAGAGATGCGTTAAGTATTTCTTTTGCCGTCTAGTATTCTCGATTCATCTACCCCGGCTGCTTTAATAGTGGCATCGAGCTTAATAATTCGATAATTCGGCAATTTGATTGGCTTTAATAATCGGATTTATGAAGAAAAACTTCATACTCTCATGCTTCGTACTCATTTGTATCCTTGCCCAATTTGCAAAATCTGGCATAATGCAGTTATTGAAGCTACTAGGCATAGTTAAAAATTAAGACAGCATAAGCACAGTTATTCCAGATATTACAGATTCTGACAAGTAAAGGATTTTCAGAGCTCTGTAACAAATAGGCTACATATTGATTATTGACAATCTGTGAAGATTGTCTTAGCATACTAATTATAGTAAGGTAATATTTATTTAAAAATTGCATTTGTTATTGTGTTGAATGTTATCAAATGTAAAATAAAAATATTTATATTATTCTCATTTTACTTAAACACATTATAAAAATAGAAATATATATTTCTATTTAAATAATGAATTTATAGACAATTTACATGAATTTATAGACAGTTCATAAACTGTCTATAAATTCATATAGATTCAACAGATTTCTATTGAATTTATTATCAAAATAAAATTTTTAAAAATCTTATTCTTGTGCACACAATGATATAAGAAATACTTCTCTTAACAATGAGTTAGAATATATTAATCTTCTGTTATATAACAGAAATTTTCTTTTAAAAAGAGATTATATATATGATTTATAAAAAAAAAGTACCTTAAGTCAGTTTTCATTTTTTAAGAGCATCTTATTTTACAGTCTAAGAGGAGTTTATAAGGCATTTATAATTAAAAATGCTGCCAAATATTAGGTTTCGACACCAACTGCTTCTAGTAAAAATTGACAATTTCGATCATACTTTTCTCCTCGACAGCAAAATTTACTTTTCTGACTTAGGATATCTTTTCATAGGCTGCATCACATATATACATATTTCTTTATAAAGATAAATAAGATATATTTCTTATACAAACTCTAAATATTTCTCAAATATATATACACTGATATTTGAGAAATATTTAGAATTTATGAGAAAGTTGACACCATAATAAAATATGTAATATTTGATGTATTATCATTTTTATACATTTTTCCTCCATGAATATTCCACAAGTATAAAATAAAATTTATTTTCATTTCAAAATTTAATCGTAGTTTTGAAGTATTTTTATTTCATTCTTTCTGTGATCCTAAGAAAGCAAAACAGAAACTAAAAGTATTTATCTAATCTTTGACTGTAAATAACCTTAATTAATTTAGGACCCCTTGTCAGCTTACAAACACATAGCACCAACATATAATTATAAAACTAATAGTTAACCAGTACAAAGGAGTTTTTGATATATACAGTACAGTGTATTTACAAGTCCTTGGGGGTCCCCGAGGGGTCCTTGTACCCGAAATGCATCCTTACCTAAATTTGAAGGTGATTATTAAAGACTAACTTTTGTAAAAGATTTGGTTTTTTTTCCATTGGCCTCAGTGTGATAAGCCCTCCAAATTGTTAAATCCTATTTATTAGGCTATTTAACTCTATCTAAATTCAAGTGGTGGGCTAAAAGTGTTGTTTATTATTAAATAAATAATTCATAAACTATATAAAAAAAAAACAGAAAATGCAACACATTATAATATATATATATATATAAGAAAATGAGAGTGTTTAGAAGAAAACAATATTTTTAATGCCCTTTTTTTGAAAGTTTTGTAGTTATTTTATTATTATTAATAATAAATTAATTCCTTAAAATTTGCCTGCTTATAAAATAAACTATTTTATTTTAAACTTTGTTTTTTCATGTTGAATTTTGTTTAAAAAATCTAAATAGATATTAATTACATTTATTTAATTTAATGCAATTTTAAACACTTGTTTTTTTTCACTAGTAAATACAAATTTACAGATTTTATTGTAAAAAAATATTAGTTTTATTTCGAGTTAAAAGGCAACAATATGTAGCTCATATCATAGTGTTTAATCACGATTAAAAACATCTGTTCCATTTCTAATCGCTGTGTCTACGATGACGCAACAATACTAGCTTAAGTGCGATTTAATTTTATAAGGAAACTGTTTTTCTGTTTAATAAACAACAGGAATGGTTTCAATTTCATTTTTCCTTTTGTTTTGTTTTGTTTTCTTTTAAAGCGCATCGAATAATTAAAACACTTACGCACGTGTGTATTGTATTCAAGTTTCTTGCTGTGTTTTGTACAGTTAAAAATTAGCGCTAGTATTATTAATCAGTGTAATAGAAGTAGATCGATTAAATCCCATAATCGCGCCCATAAATCGGTATTCATGTATAATGCAAACATAATTACCTATACAATTCCCGATAAGCAGTCAGGTAACACTCCATTTTTAAGGCATCGGAATTCTCGGCGCATTCCTGGAATGATTCGTAAACTAATTTAACGTTAAAAGTCCAATTTCGATCGACACTATTTTCTTTTTCGTCCGACATTCTCGTGTAGTCTCGTGAGGGAACACGAGAAGGGAAACGATTGTGTGATATATAGGAAGCAGTGGGCGTACCCCAGTGTCTCCAATCGACCAATCGACGCGCTGGATTTTAACACTGGTAATTGTTACCGCTTCGATTAATTTACGACTTTTTCGCGCTCTTCCGTAAATTATTGTCTTTTTAATTACGTTCCTCTCGAACGAAAAATAAGGGAATTTATTAAAATCGCGCATCGATAGGGAAACGTTTAAACGAGTGATGTCCGGTGTTGTTCGTGCACTTGAATGTACTGTACTGTACATTTATTGAGCCGAGTAATCACAGTAATGAAACTATAATACAAAAAATTGCTTGGGTTTTAGAGATGATTGAGGGTGGAGACCCCACAATATATATTTTCTAGGGAATACTCGTGCCAACTCTGGTGCGGATACGTTGAACGGTATAGAAGCCATTATCTAATATACATACAAATTTTGTCTTTTATGTGTGTAGATTACATAAAGATGTAAGTGAAAGTTGCGGAAAGTAAGACGATTTCGTTTTATCAATGTGGAATCGGTAGACTTTTCATTATAAATAGAAGCTAGGTCAAAGTCGTAAGGGCGTGGTAGGCGCATTATCCATTTTTGGAATTTATAGGGAAGAAATTTTCTTTCTTGCCAAACTTCTATTATAGAAATTTCGCAATCGTTTGTTTAAATTTCTAAAGGATATCAATATACATTAAGGCAAATTAATGTATTAACATTGTAGTAATATGTTGTCGTGTTTAACTTGTACTATTTATAACAACAATGAAACGTTTTAAATTTGTGCAAAAGTAATAAGGTTTTAATATTTAATTCGAATAGATTAGACGAATGATAGATGAAGATTTATTTCGAAAAAAGAGTAATTCTTATTTTAGAAAGATATAGAAGAAAATAATAGGATAGTTGTCATTGGTGTAATTTTATTTTGTATAGATTGAGCCCTATAATTAAGATTTTTCTTGTTCTGAATAATTTTTATTTGATTTAAAAAAAAGTCAAAATTGAATAATTGTGAAATGTGTAAAATATTTACTAACTGAAATATGCAGCATTAATTACATTTTAAACACTATCCATTCACTTGTTAACTTGCATACTGTTTTTCTTTATTCTTCCCGCCCTATTGGTACTAACAGAATCCTTTTAATTCAGCCTATTATAGGTTCGTCCAGACCCATAATAGAGCGGAGGGTGATGAAGAGCAAGACACATCCGGGACTGACCGTCTACCCCCGAAAAATTCCTGGGGTTTACCGATCCTCACAGCAGTAAGCTAATGTCTTAACCTCTCGGCCAAGTTTACAGAATGATCACAAAATTATATACAGTTTATAGCTTTTTGAGTGCGTTGTCAGTGTTCTTTGTGTCCCAATTAGAATGCCGATAACGTCCTGTATCATTGAAAGTGAGGTTGTAACGGCGTGTTGTTGTGTTCAGCGTGAAGCCATAGTGTTTATTTATTCTCTCTCTCTCTGCAAATTATGTATGAGAAGAAATCAGTTTTCAGTCTAATTTACAATAAAAAGCATGTAACTGAAATACTGTACCCATCTATTAATTGTTGAGATTGTGCACTAATTAAAAAATAGTTTCAGTGAATAAATGTGAGGTCCAAAAATAGTTTGCATTTAATAAGCAAAGGTATAATTTCATAAATTAACAAACAAAGTTATATAAGTGTCGAGCCGGCGACACCAGACTTTGACATCGTCGCTCATAAAGCAAAGAGAAAGAGGAGATGAATCGAAGAACAAAAGAAAATGAAAAAAAGAAATTGTTTAAAACGCAATTAGGAAAAGAAAGCTGCTTTATTTCTTTAGATTCTGCTATCCTATCCTAAAACCCTCCAGTTATAGGGGAAAACAGAACGGTTTTAGGCTACAACTTTTGTTAAAGGAAAAGGATGTACAGGGTCGAACCACTACTAATTTGAAGTGGCGAGAATATATTTTGAATTCTTCAGAGGATGAGCTATGGTTTTCCGATTATATTGTCTCATACATATATTACGCAATAAAATACAACATTGAAAAATGCAAATGCACATATTTATTAAACAGATATACTATATATGACGGCCTGATGGCCAAGCGATGAAAAGGGGAACCTATCGCTCAGGGGGACTCGGGATCGAATTCAGACGGAGTCGATGAATCCCCAGGAATTTTTCGGTGGGTAGTCCAACCGGATAAGTCGGCCCCCGTCTCTCACCACCCGACCGCTCCATTGTGAGCCTGTCCGAGCCCATAATGAATTTGCTAACCAAGAGGCTCTTAGTGCCCACAGAGCGGGAAGAGTAAAAAAAAGTTCAATCACAGTAATCCCCAGACCATTACCACTCAGAGCCAACAAACAGGTATACAAATAATCTGCATGGATCCCAGCCTTACAGGACATATACATTAACGAACTCGCAGGCCAGCTAGGAAAAAAAAGCCATCGCGACTGAAGCCGTGATACCACCTCTCGTGAAGATTTAATGAAAATAATAAAATCAAGACAAAAACAAATAACACTCTTGTCGCCAATCAATTCCTACACCGCCGCAAATTAATAAAATCTGACAAATGCAAGTACAGGTACTGCCAAAATAAAACAGACAGCTCTCTACACGTATCGATGACGTGTAGGGACGTGTCTTGAAATATCGACGCGCGATATTTCAAGACACTCGACGCCTGTCGTGTGTCTTGAAATATCTAAATATCTTTTTGTTTAAACTAAAAAAAACTATCAATAAATTAAGTGATTGCATACAAATAACCTATTCAACTGTGCTCAACAACATTAGATAATTATTTCCAAGAACATATTAAGTTTTTTCGCTACTAGATGGCGTCTAAGCACCAACTCTTCCATGGGGTTAATAATGTTGATCCCCTTGTACCTTAAGGCTCACTACCCCAATAACAACTGTTACCTATGTAATTTCGCGAGGAAATTTGAAATATTTATGGGAAGAAGCGATATATTTTTAAACAGTTCGTACGAGAAAGATGTTTCCGGTGGGATTTTGAAGAAAGCTCGAAGATTTGAGAAGTGTATTTATAAATAAATGGTTTCTGGTTTTAAGACACCAGAGTTACTGATGCAAACGGTACATACAAGTGCAGAAAGAGTGCCAGCCAAAGCAGAAACTTCTGATCCGATTCGTACCACCTCCACCTCTCTCAGGGAGATGCGGGCCCGGGCGGCACACCTGAGAGCGCGGACCCGGGAAGCTTTGGCTCGAGACATCGCGGTCCCGGGAAGCAATCTCAGGGAGATGCGGGCCACGGGCGGCACACCTGAGGGTGCAGGCTGGCACGTCTCGGTGCAGAGTGCGATCATTGCACTTGGATTTGGTCAAACCATCCAAGTGCAATGAGTGTTTGTACATATGTATATATATTGTACATATCGTGCCATGGGGTTTGTACATATCGCGTTACCCCATCCTTAGAAATCCAAAATTAGAAAAGCTTTCCACATCCTGTATTTTCCGAATACAGGTAACCCCGTATAACACGGNTAAAATCTCTTTGTTTATTATGTGCTGGAATTTGTAATTATTTATTTAATTTGTGATGTAAAGAAAATAATTTCCATATCAAACATCATTTAAATGTTTAAAAATTGGAATGCAGTGAAGTTCAAAAGTTAGAAATTTTCAAAGGATAGAACTGATTTTTGTGTTTTTTTTTTTAATGTATTCATTCCTGATGAGGGCCTCTAAAAGACAGGCAAAAATGTTTGAACATTAAAATCTCTTTGTTTATTATGTGCTGGAATTTGCATTTAGGTGTCAGTTAGTTGATTACTTTAAAACTGCAATTCAATGCAATTATAAGAAACATTAAAGCAAAATTATTTTGAGAATATTTCACAAAAAAAATACTTCCGAAACTTATTTAAGGTATTTAGTGCAAGTTATTTATTAACATAAAAATAAATATAATAATATCAGTCTCATACTGACTTTAAAATTATAAATGCATTTGAAAAACAGAACAAATTCAAAAATGCAAAGATATTTGAAATGCATTGTTCACAATGATATTTGAATAGCATTCTAATTCAAAACATTTGACCTGAAGATCCATGGAAAGGATTGAAAGTGTCAGTCCTTCTTTCCATGATTATTTACTGGAGCTTTTTCAAACTACAAGGTGTTTTACTAATACACTTTATTTGTTATTCTTGTTGGTATATTTTATTTATTTATCAGGTTTTAAAGAGGTTCATTGTAATGGAGACTAAATATGTTTCAAAGGAATGCTACTGTTAACCATTTTAATAAATAAGTTTTACTATGTTTCATTGTTCACATAACTGTATTCAGAGATGATAAGGAAACAGCTGATGTATCCATGTTGTAAAATATGAAAATATTGCAAAGTTTGCTTTTTTTGTTTTTTATTTGAAGTCTCACTCTAATATGCTAGACAGTTGTTACATGCATTAAAAGATTTGCCAGACACATTTACTATGCTGTTCATTAAATTGAATAGCCTATATGTAAATTCATAAATGTTTGTAATTTGTCTCGCTGTTGTTTAGTTTAAATAGGCATATATAAATGGTAAAGAATTAAAATGGGAGAGTTTATGAAAGGAGTTTCCTTTGTGTAAAATTGTAGAAGAGATATTAAAACAACAGCAGTAACAGTAAACCAGCAACAAATTGTGTAACTTTCCAAGCTAACCTAAAATTGTGTGTGGTGCCATCTGTTATGAGCTTTTATTTTAAAAACTTTTTGTATTATTAATTAGAAAAATATAATGTAAAGCATTGATTTTTTGATTTTATTATATTATTAATTATTATAAAATGACAAAAAGCTTAATTTTCAGGCTATAGATGAGTTTTATAAACAATTGCAAATTATAATAATAAATAAAATCTTCATTAAGTCTGATCCCACTTGAGATATGACAAGTGACCGCCTCTCTCTTCCCATCTCCTCAACCTTTAACCACCAAAATTTAATAGCATCAATTCCTCTAATACACAAACCTCCCTGCATAATTTCAGAAATTTTGGCAAAAGGCACAGAACCTCCAAAATGGACAAACAAATAATAATACATATTGTGTAAC